GGGAAGTAAAGCACACAACCAAGGTAGCAATGTAAATGCGGAAGGTAAAAATAAGGTAGAGATGCAAACTCCCGCCGACGACTCCGGTATTTTTACCGAGGTATCGAGAAGCGCTCAAGCTTCCTTCTAGTCCTCGTTGGAGCCCCTCGCAAGGAATCCCTCGCAAAGGCCAAGCTCCCGGTCGGGTAACTCCGTGGATAGCCCTAGGCCTTCCCCACGCGCAAGTGGGCCTCCAGTGTGCCTTCCGGCAAGCCTCTCCTGGACCGCTCCCCGCCGTCTTCACTATCAAGCTTCCGACTGAACCGCCGTGGGCCTTGTTCCCTTCAGTACACAGTGGTGGCCACACTACAAATGCGATTGGTGTGATCTCGCAAGACTATGCAAACCTCACTAAACACTAGGCTTAAACCTAGAGCAAGCGCATAAGCAGTGGTCTAATTAATCTAAGCACTTCGCAAAGCACCTACGCTAATCATCTAATGAATCACTAAGCACTATGCAAGTTGAGATCACTAAAATGGTGTATCAACACCCTTGGTATGTTTCCTCAGCTCTCCACTCCTCAAATGGCCGATTGGGGGGGGTCTATTTATAAGTCACATGGAGAAAGTAGCCGTTGGGGACGAAATCTAGCTTTCTGCTACTAACCAGACGCTGTCGTCATCCTGACCAGACGCGTCCGCTCATCTTTACCATTGAGTGCGCGCGTAGAGATCGGACGCTGTGCCGAGTCCGGTCATCATCGACCGGACGCGTCCGGTCACATTTGTGCCGCTCTGGAACCTCTCTGGACATGATCGGATGCTGCACTTTGTGCGTCTGGTCATCCAGTGCCGCTGCGTCTGGTCCTCACTGAGTTGTTGCCGCGATGATGAACAGTGAAGTCCGTGCGTCCGATCACTGCCTCGCTCAGCGTCTGGTCACTGCTGCTGACGCCTACTGTTGCCGAGCACCTGATCAGACGCGTTCGGTCCTCATAGGGCCATGTTCAGTCACCTCTGTGGAGCTCGTTTCTTCGCGATCTTGCGTCCGATTTGGTTTCCATCTTCGTGCTTGGACTTTGCTTGATATCTTGGGTCTTCTCTTGTGCTTCTAGGGTCTTGCTTATGGTGTTGATCGTGGGATCATCATGTCGCCTTCGTCCAAGTCACGTTTTGCATCCTATTGAACTATAAAACAATTACTTACAAATTCATTAGTTCAATTTGGTTGTGTTGGTCATCAAACACCAAAATCCAAAGTAAATGGGCCTAGGGTCCATTTTCCTTACAACCCTCGCAGCCTCTGGCCCACGGTCGACCTAGCTTCACTGCAATAGTTTGTTCCACACTATGCGTCGTCATCGCGGTCCGAGCACTTGAGCTCCGCGTCGTCGTTGCACTCGAGCTCCACCTCGTTTTGGCTGGCGCTCGCGCTCGTCCTTGCCGGTAGGGTCGGGACCAGGCCTAGGCCAATAGGGCCATGGCCCTAGTCGCGGCCCAAATTGTTTTTTTGGAACAGGTCTTCAATTTTGGCCCAACAACAAACAACCCAGTAAGGAGCAGAGTAGGGCAAACCATAGAATCTCTCGGTGCCTCGGTCGCTCATGCCGTCACGCACTGCTCATGGCTCTTCTTCCTCTTCCAGCTTGCATCACGTGCCACCGCTCCTGCCTCCCGCTCGCATCTCGCACTCGCCGGCGTCGGTGCGGCGGCACCTAGCCTGCTCGGCCCTTGCTTGCCGGCGGCTGCCGTCGACCTCACTGGGCCGAGCCCCCGGCCTGCCACAGCGCCGCCGCAGCCCTAGGCTTCATGTGGTGCTTGCGCCTATGCTTAACGGAGCCCCGTATTGCCGAATAGAGCAGCTAAATAGAGTAGCTGAGCGGGCCAGCTGGGAGCACTGTAGATGCTTGATTGGCCATCCGTAACGAGCTTAATGCGGCCATGGGTCCGTGTTCCCCGATGAGGAGTTGCAGCGGCGGCTAGCTGAGTTCTGACGTTATTTAGACACCGTTAGCCGGATCAAGAACCACCCTCGGTTTACCTAGGAGGCTATGACGCATGCCACCAGGTCCTCGTCGCCAAGGATACCCAGTGGAAGCGCTATGGGTAGGTTCATGCGGGCTGACTTCTTGGGTCAAGGATTCGACATGTTCTTTTCCTTGCCCAAACTAAAACCCCTCCATTCTTATCTCTCACAACTAAAAAAACTAAAAAGTGGACATTGTTTTGGTGCGACATTTCAATGTGTGGGTCCATGATTCTGCTTACGATCCCGCACCCCTCGCTCCTGCACCCGTCCTTTGCAACAAAATTCAAAAGGAAGGAAATAAACGTCGCTCCATTGATTTTAAAAGGAGGAAACAAAACCTGCTCCTGTGATTCGTCTGCCCCGCTCCTGTAAATGATGAGGAATGCATGCATTTTTAGAAAGAAATCTGACATCTCCTGGGCAGGTTAGAGTAAGTGAAAAAGGCAGTGATGAGTGTAAAGTAAACAAGAGGTAGAATACTGATATTAGTTGCATCTGACTTGTACATTTTGATTAATTGGACATTATCTTTTCACGATTTATTAACGAATATTTAAACAAGATGTTCATAGATTAACCAAACAAGCTTGACAATTTGCTTGTCAATCTTGTACTTCTACCTGTGAAAAAATAGTTATTCTTGTGTTTTTATAATGTATTAGGGCAATCACAATGCTATACCTATTAATTTCCATAGACACTACATGTAGAAACCATAATCCTAATGGATAGTTTCTACAGAACAATCTTTTATCAACCACATACATTCTCTCTCTATTCTTTATCATCACATCCCTTCGTGACTTGGTTTCGTGTAGTCATGGTTTATAATTTAGACCCGGTTTCTATAATTTTTACTCTCTCTTCAATAACTACCTTTCCACATCAGCAAAACATTTAGGTGTCAAAACAATTAATATCCATAGAAACTATGATTATTTCTACATTGGAAGTGCTCTTATGCTTTAAGTGCTCCAAAGCACACATTGAAAATGAAATTCTAAATACGTAGTAACGCACGGACACGAACCTAGGAGCATATGGTTGAAGGCATGTTATTATCTAAAATATGGAGGGTGGTTTTAGTATACCAGTCATGTATAAAGCAGACTGATAATTCAAAGAGACGGTTAACTTTAAAAGGTTGATGAATCAATTAATCTTGTTACGGTGATATGAACTTTTATGTGCGTATGCACAAATGTATAATACTATAAATACATACCGTGATGATTGTAAACCATCAATGAGAATTTTAGCCATGTATAAAATTTAATTATATTGACATTCCGAACATCACACCTGCATTATCGTTTTTTTTAACAATACAACACGTTCATGCTCAAACTAGGGTGTTATTTGTTCCTATTGCAATGCATGGAAAGATTTATATAGTAGAGTTAGTGAGCCTGCGACGCTGTGTTCTTCGCAACTACGTTAATTTTACGAACTTTGCTTTTTAGATTAATTGTCACATTAATATTGGTATTTAATTTTACAATATTATTATTTTATAGTGCGATCCATTGTTTTTATATAAAAGTTTAGTTGTCCCAAATAACAACACGGACACGCTACCTACTTCTTATACAATTTTCCAGCGCTGCCCAGAACTCGACTCAAATTCTTATACGTAACATAGAGGGAAGCAAGCACCACATAAACCGGAAACACACACGTAAAAGGAAATGGATTGAACCAGGCAACAGCCACAGCTCCCGTACGTAAGTAGAAACGAGCAAAGCAGCGATTGAAACAGAAACGGATGTGGAAATAAATGCGGAAGAGTTGGACGAAATTTTTTTGTGGGCAGAAATTTGTCAGGTTTCTACTAAAAAACTAGGCCATCACTTTGTTTTATTTTTCTCCTAAAAATTGTGGCAAAGCTCGTTGTCCTTTTGAAAAAATGTCATGTTTTTACACTTGTTTGTTTGGTCCCGTGAGCTATAAGGTACTTAACTATTGATCGAATCTAAAATATTTTGTTGTATATCATGTAAAGCATGTGACGTGGTGGTATGCAATCACTTGTTGGAGACTTAGGTTTAAACCTCGTGTGGCTTGCATTTTTTTGTGTCTTTTTATAGTTGTTGGTGTTTTTGTTGTTGGGACTCGGATGTGCTTGGGAAAAAAACACAGACGGTATAGGGATGTGATGCGAATTGAAACACGGGTTGAACGTGGACTCAAAAAGAAAACGGAAGGAACAGGCAAAAAAAAAAAGAGTACGGCAGAAATTGGTAAGCGGACTGCTAAATACGGATTGAACGTGGACTAGAATATAGATTGAACATGGTCTGGAAACGGAAGGAAGAGGCAGAAAAAAAAGTATGGAAGATATTTTGTCTATTTATTATTGTGTATAGATTATTATTTGGTATAGACTAGGTGAGACAGTATGTTTTCGGTGCACATTGCCCCTACAATTAGCTCCGCCGTTTGTTTTTGACCCGCCCCGTCCGATCCGATCTGAAAACACCTTCACGCCGAGCAACTACGCGAAGCAAGCTCAAACACGCAAAAAATAAAAAAGCCCGGATGGAGCACGACACGTCACCAAACCAAACCAAGCCAAGAAGCCGCATCCCTCGCGTCTCCACGACGCGTCACCAAAAAGACCACGAAATCTCCATCCAGCCAGCCATTACCGACGGCAGCAGCCGGCAGGCAAGATATTTTCCGTCCCGCTTCGTCCACCTGTCGTCCCCGTGCTCTCGCCACGCGTCCCACCACCCCCACCGCCTCGCCACCCCGACCCCGCTTTTAGCCGCCGGCAGCCTGGCGCAGTTGCAAATTTGCAAGGTTACAACTGTCCTGCTCCCGTCCACCCGCCCACCTCAACCTCACCACCGGGACGAGATCGGAAATCCCACCCCCACGCCCCCACCCAGAAAAAAAAAAGTTCACACCAAATCCCTTTCCCCCGATTCCTTCCATCCGTCCCCTCCTCCCCCGCCGCCGCGCAGATCCGCCTCCCCCGCGCCGCCGCCATGGCATCCTCCCGCACCTCCTGGGCCGACGTCGCCGACGCCGAGCCCGCCCCGCCTCCGCCCGTCACCGCCCCCGCGCCCGCCCCGGCCGCCGCATCCAACGGCCCCGCCCGCTCCTCCTACGTCCCTCCGCACCTCCGCAACCGCCCCGCCTCCGCCGCCTCCTCCACCCCTGCCGCCTCCGCCCCGCCGCCGCGCTCCACCGCCGGCCTCCTCTCCCGCCCCGGCGCCGCCTCCGCCGGCACCTTCGCTCCCTCCGGCGGCGGATTCGGCGGGGGCCGTCCCCGCGGGGGGCGGTGGGACCGGGAGCCGGACCCGTTCGCGGACTCCGACCCGGCCCCCACCCCCTCCACCGACACCCCGTTCGAGGAGCAACAGAACACGGGGATCAACTTCGACGCGTACGAGGACATCCCGGTGGAGACCTCCGGCCGCGACGTCCCTCCCCCCGTCTCGACCTTCGCGGAGATCGACCTCGGCGAGGCGCTCAACGACAACATCCGCCGGTGCAAGTACGTGCGCCCCACGCCCGTGCAGCGCCACGCCATCCCGATCTCGCTGGCCGGGCGGGACCTCATGGCCTGCGCGCAGACCGGGTCGGGCAAGACGGCCGCGTTCTGCTTCCCCATCATCAGCGGCATCATGAAGGGACCGCCGGCGGGGAGGCCGCAAAGGGGTGGTGGGATGGGGATGAGGACCGCGTACCCGTCCGCGCTCATACTCTCGCCTACTAGAGAGCTCTCCATGCAGGTCATTCTTGAGGATGATTCGGCAGATCCATGACATATATGTGGTGGGTGGTTGCTAATACTACTATGTTGTTTTTCTGCTTTCCAGATTCATGAAGAGGCCAGGAAATTTTCGTATCAGACTGGTGTTAGGGTAGTTGTCGCCTATGGAGGAGCGCCCATTACTCAGCAGGTACAGTCTCTTAAATCCTGTTCGGCTGGTACACTTTCAGCTTGTCTCAGCTTATTCTCTCTCACAGAATACTATTGAATCAGCTGAAATCAGCCAAAATCAGCTGAAACTGGATCAGCCGAACACAAGTCTCTTATTTCCCCTTCAATTTTTGAATACATCTCGGCAGCTGATTTCAGATGGTTTATTGTATTGATGGACTATCTGTAGTCTTCAATAGCTCGATTAATTTTGTGAAAGTTGTTTGCTTGGCATATATTTCTGACCCAATGTAACAGTTACCTGGTAGACAACAATGCAATGTTTACATGCAACAGTTACCTGGTAGACAACAATGCAATGTTTACGCGGTACAGTATATGCTATTGCCTCTTTAAATAGGTCATGCTTGACCTCTCACTTTTATGATCTTTGGTGAAATTTTGGTGCACATGTGAAAAGAAGGTTTATCGAGATTTTGTCTAAATAGCCATGCACAGAGAATTTGGAGCTTTATATTGATTTTTCTGTTATAATGATAAGTTCATGTGATTCACGTGGCACAAGGTTTAACCAAAAGAGATAGTTGTTAAAGCATCATGGCACATTTTTGTTGAGTTCGTGTTAAGCCTTTACAATTGCAAAGATGACGTAGTTAATACTAAAGGTTGCAAGGCATGGTACACAAGATATAGCTCCCCTTATTTATCATTAGGTTAGAAATAATATATTTTTCCAAACATCCATTATGGAATGGTTGAATCTTTGACCATTACTTATTTTCTTAAATTTGTATCACATTATAAATTTATACACTTATTTGCAGTTAAGAGAGCTTGAGAGGGGTGTTGACATTCTTGTGGCTACCCCTGGCCGATTGGTTGATTTGTTGGAAAGGGCAAGAGTATCTTTACAGTCAATTAGATACCTTGCCCTTGATGAGGCAGACAGAATGCTTGATATGGGTTTTGAACCACAAGTTAGAAGAATTGTTGAGCAAATGGACATGCCTCTTCCAGGTGTCAGGCAGACAATGTTGTTTAGTGCGACGTTCCCAAAAGAGATCCAGGTTAGCTGTTTTTTTATATTTTGGTGGCATTATTACGATATTAAATGTTAAACATGTGCGTTTCCTGAATAAGCAATCCTATTTCTTGTAAGCTGTTCTTTTAGTAAATCTGTGTCTTCATTGTACTTTCTACAATATTTCTTCTCCTGTCTTGTCACGTATAATCTTTGCTAATATCCTGTATTTGATCAGGCGTTGTGGCTATTAGCTTGGCATGTTTTTCTAGAGGGATAACATTTCTTTCCATGCTAGACGTTATTGAGAAGTAGAGAAATATATGTTTTTTGTGCTTCAGTGTGCTGCAGGATTTTAATTCTGTCTATGAATGAAATGAGCAATCTGATAAATCCACACTGGTATAGCTGAATATTTAATTTAATATATACGTGGGCAATGTGATACTGTCCATAAAGTAATGGGTTGTGTTATGTAGTGCTAATATTTAACATAAATTCCTAGTATGCGTGATCTATTAATATGTGCATTGTATATATCTGGTTCCTTTCTGCCTTGTCCATATTCAGCTTCTTATTTATTTTCATAAAATGAAACAATTAGTGTGGACATAGGGTTGTCTTCTGGTGTTACTTGTTCCGATCTCCAGATATATTCTTCAATCATCTTTTTTTCCTTGTTAAGAACTTCTATTTGTTAATGATCAATCTGGGACATCTGTAACTTTATCAAGTTACTCCTTGTGCTGATTACTTTCTGTGTCAAAGTTCCAATGTGCATGATTAATTATATTGATATTACTCTAATGAATACAGAAAATGGCATCGGATTTCCTGGATAACTACATTTTCCTGGCTGTTGGAAGAGTTGGGTCAAGTACTGAGTTGATTGCCCAGAGAGTTGAGTTTGTGCAGGAGGCAGATAAAAGAAGCCACCTGATGGATCTTCTTCATGCACAAAGAGATGCAGGAAAGGTAATAATTGACCATCGGTTTTTCGTTCCGCGATTCAGTCAATGTTCTAATGTTTTATATTTGTGTACTCATTTCCTTGTCTCTTTTCTGTTGCAGCAAACTCTCACGCTTGTCTTTGTGGAAACAAAGAGGGGTGCTGATTCATTGGAAAACTGGTTGTGCATGAATGGGTTTCCAGCTACTTCTATTCATGGAGATAGAAACCAGCAGGTTTGTTTTTGTTTTTACTCTGTTCAGAACAGCCCATTTTGCACAGAAACAGAGGCATTTAGTTATAATTGTTTGCTGCAGTATGTTTGTACCACTGGACAGTTGGTGCCATGAAATACATATTAACCTGTTACTGTTGCTATCTGGTTTAGTGTTCTTGTGGAAGCTTTAATGAGCATTTTGTTATATCCAGATATTGTTAGTATTACAGAGCACACTTTTAGATCTACATAGCACACTGAGAGCAGTTTACTATTGCTGTCTACATGTTTGTTTATATATCAAGTTCGAAGTTCCAATCCTGCTGTATTCTTTAACCATGTTCGGCTTGATTTTTTAAAAGTCTGTGGCTACTTGATATAAACTGAGATGTTTTTTTTAACAATGGTCTTTCTTTTCCTAATGTAATTGATCTACTGTTTTTGGCAGGAAAGAGAATATGCTCTGAGATCCTTCAAGAGTGGGCAAACTCCTATTTTAGTTGCAACTGATGTGGCAGCTCGGGGCCTCGACATTCCTCATGTTGCTCATGTTGTGAACTTCGATCTCCCCAATGATATTGATGACTACGTACACAGGATTGGAAGAACTGGAAGAGCTGGGAAGAGCGGACTTGCAACTGCCTTCTTCAATGACAATAACTCATCGCTGGCAAGATCTCTTGCTGACCTAATGCAAGAATCTAACCAAGAAGTACCTGCATGGCTCCTGCGCTATGCAGCTCGTCCTTCTTATGGTGGTGGTGGTGGGAGGAACCGGCGATCAGGTGGAGGGAGCCGCTTTGGTGGCCGTGACTTCCGCAATGATTCTTCCTCATTTGGCAAGGGGGGATCTCGAGGTGGTGGTGACTACTACGGTGGAGGCAGCAGTGGTGGTTATGGTGGTGGCTCCTCATATGGTGGTGGTGGATACGGTGGTGGAGCTGGGGCTCCGAGTGCCTGGGATTAATGTTATAGTTGCTCCCTAGTAGGGTCTGCCAAGTTTAGGTCACTTTTTACTCTAGTTTCATTTAGGTATACATTTTTGGTAGGAGCTGTTATACAGCAACAGTACAAGGTGAATGTGGTCATCCCCTTTTTTCTTCTGGTTACTACTCCCTGCAGTCTTATCTTGCAGATGTCCATTATGGAGAGCGTTCTTGAGGACATTCAAGCACACGAGATTCCTAGTTAGGTGAAATTCCTTGGTAGGGATAGTAGCTAGGCTGACAAGTAGTGCTTGGTGCGAAATTTCTGCCTTTGCTTTTCTTTCAATGTCGAATTTTGGTGGTCGGTTGTAAAGCTTGTGTTGAGGGGGCTTTTGTGGCTTGATTTTTGTCCTGGATTCAGAGTTTTGACACCCGGAGGTTGAAGAAGCGGTAGGATGATGATGATAGCCCTTTAGATCCCTGTTGTAATGTATATACTGTGAGGTGAGGCTGGATACAATAAATTATGTAGGCTTATTTAGAGGAAGAAGGGGGAAGTTGTGTGTGATGGTTTTTTCAGAGAAGAATCCTGTTATTGTGTACTGTGAATTTGTTTTGGATGGAGTTATAAAACTGATATTACCAACGTCATCCAAGTGCTGTCTCCTGTGTTACTGTTACATTTATTTTGATTGTAATGTTGCCATGATATGGTAGTACAGATGTTTGTGCTTCTGTTTGGTTATATGTATTCTCATGTTTTGTCTCAATATCTGGCTTTTTAACAAGCAATGCCCAATCTTTTTAACTTCTGATTCTATTATCTGAACACGTAATACCCAATTTTAATGCACTGTTCGAGTTATATTCAAACCACCGGCAATGGCTAGGCGACGCATGACAACCGATGATTTTTGAGAAAAAATAGAGATCTGATCGAAAAAGGACCGGTAAGAACTCAACCAATCAACTGTAGGCAAAATCAGGGTTGTGGCCAATCAAGTATCAGCAAAATCAATTAAGAGTTACGGGTTTGTTTATGTGGCAGTGTGTGTATTGAGGTCGGATATGGGTGAGTGGGTGGCATCAGGGGTTGCCGCTATACGCAAATGCTTGCACACAGTAGTTCATCCCGTCCGGACTTATGCCTTCTCGGGCCTGGACAGACCCAACAACACATCTACGTCTCTTCCATCTCCTATCGTTGAAAATTTCCCTAATTGCACTTGCATAGGTCATGCGTCCGCCCCACTCTGCCTCGTCGCGCCCCTTTCCCCACCGCACGCCTATCCCCCGTTGCGTCGTGCCCTTCCCCCCACTGCATTGCACCCCATCGCCCGCCGCACCGCGCCCCATCTCCCGCGAGCGGATAGCACTGGATGACTACGGCCAAGCAGTGGCAGCGCTAGAGAAGCCACTCTAATGGGCGCAAGCCTGGGCAGCGAGCAGGCGTGGAAGAATTGCAGGAGAAGCGACGGGATGACGTCCTGCAGCAGAAGTGAACGCTGGGCCGACATCCCCCTGAGCCGAGCTTGCTGGCTACCGCAGTTCCTCACCAGGTAGGCCGTGGCCACCGGTGACGCCGTGTTTCAAGTGTTTGGTGTTCCAGACTTATGTTTCAAGTGTTTGATATGGATGTTGCATATGTTGCAATGACAATGTTGCAAGCGTATATTTTCAAGTGTTTCATCTGGATGTTGCATATGTTTTGCAATGGCTATCAGGTGTTTTTCAAGTGTTTTAGACGTATGTTGTAAGGTCTAGATGTTGTAAAAGTAGATCTCATGTTGCACATGTTACAACGGGACCCGTTTGCTATAGCTGCCCGCTGCAGCTACTAGAGTGCCGTGCATACATGTGGGAAGCGGAGGGGGATGGAGGCAGGGGCGCGGGTCCTGAGCGCGTGATGCGGAGGGGGATGTAGGCAGGCGCGCGTGGCCCCGTGTGCATGCGGGTGCGAGAGGCAGAGAGGATGCGGGCGTCCGGACGAGGAGGCATGGAGGTTCTCACGTGTGCACGGACGCATGTGAAATGGAGGAGCAGGGGCCGGCATCTGGATGCCTGTTTGACATCCGGGCGCTAGCCTAGTAGTTGCCTCTCTTACCATGTAAAAATATGAAAAAATACTGTGAATTGGATGATTCCCTTTTTTTTTTGAAGCAGGATGATTCCTGTTTACACAGATTATACAAGAGGCCTGGATCATAAGAAACCTTAGCAATAGAGATGGAAATTAATCGTAACGTTACACAATACAACCAATCGATCGATCACATATGTACCATATAGTCTAAGAGCCACTACTCCCATGACGCATTTAGATCCTTCTTATTGTCAATACATTTGTTGAATTGTACAAGCAACTCCCAAAAGCATAATACATCTTTTATTAGGAATGAGTTTCTTTGTTTTTAAAACGGCCGCTAGTCATTTAAGTTTCATGTGACATACACAGAAGGTGGTTGATCTGTTTCTAGTGGTTAAGATGGTTCAATTTGTTTATAGTTTCTACATCAGTATGAGATTGTGAGGTACATTCAAGAGAACTGAACAGAAAATAAATGCACGGCAAGAGCATGTAGGCGCATAATGCAAAACTTGGTCAGAGTTTCTTTGAATAACAAAGTAGTTTAAAACAATATACTAAAAAATATATACTAGCATAATGGTATTAATAATTTGGTTATACTTATTTTACTAGCATAATGATATATATTATAACAATATACTAAAAATTAGCTCCATCGAATTTTTTCAACTAGTAAAAATTGAAGTACCTTAAAACGAGTACGTAAACATATTTAGACTGATAAATGAGGTTGTAGGTGGTATACTGAAGATGGGGTAACTGCACCTTGGAGTAGAAAAAGTCACCATTTACATTTTTTTTCCTTATCCCTCGGTCCATCGTCCCTCACTCCCACCACTATTCTTCTACCATTCACTTTGATCCTTCTTGTTCCCACCTCTCTTTTACTGTTCTTTAGTTCGTCATCTTTTACTTAGCGTGGAGCAGCAAAACTTCACTGGCATCATACCACCCATGTTATGGCCTAGCCGGTTGAGCTCATGCCCATATGCATGGCATGTTGGCACACACATTTAGGTTTAATTTTGTTAATTATGCTCTGCTAAACTTCTAACTTGGATTAATACTTTAAAAGTTTGTATATATAAAAGTACATATTAGCAATTTCCATATGTATCACTAGTACAGAAACAAACTATACTCCCGGTTGGGAAACCCCTTCAGTCCCGGTTTTCCAACCGGGAGCACAAATCCGGGACTAAAGGGCCTCTCAGGGCCTCTCTTTTAGTCCCGGTTTCTCGCCCGGGACTAAATATTCACCTTTAGTCCCGGTTGGTAATACCAACCGGGGCTAAAGAGGCCTCCCGGCCTGGCCACGTGGGCCGGCCCTTTAGTCCTGGTTGGTATTACCAACCGAGACTAAAGGTTTTCTTTTTTTTTTCTATTTTCAATTGATGATTCGTTTTGGTTTTCGAATACGCATTCTACGCTGCTAATAATATATGTATTCTACACGCTTATAATGTTCAAACATTTTGTACAAACTAAAGTATGAAACTAACGTATATATTACATGCATATACATATATTGTCCGTTATTTTATGTACATATAATATGTATATATATATATATTACAAATAAAGCTTGCATTGTATATTCTATCATATTCTTGGGATAACAAATTCACTCCATCTGGTTTGCCTTTCATGTTTCGTTCATGTCATTGTAGAACTCGCCGGCGGGGTTTAAGACCTGGTCATTAAGAAATCCTACTATGGTCTCTTGAATTGCTTTCAGTTGGTCACGTCGTATGACTTTTTTCTTCAACCATAGAGTCTTCAATAAAAGTTAAAGGAAAAATATATATATATATATATATGTGTGTGTGTTGGTCATGTGATTACTTATATATATGAGCAATAAAAGAAATTATGAATATATGAATATATTTATATAACGTACTTTGAGGATCTCTTCAGGAGTTATTTTTGAGTACGCCATGATGAACTCGCAAACATAGTATCCGCAGTAGTTGGTCCCCTATTCTTGTCTCAGAACCCACTTTTACGAGAAAAAAGATCCGGTGATTTGAAAGCATGCATGGTGTTAATTGAATTATATATATATAAATGTAGCTAGTACTTACTTTGTGTGCGATTACATCCAGTGGCGCTTTGCAATGTTTCATGTGGTGTTCCTCAATGAAACTTTTTCAAACACTGCGCCCAATAAAATAAAAAATTAATTTGGCCTTTAATAATTATTGCAATTAAGAGATTGGGGTATATATAGTTGCTAGAGAGACCAAATTACCCTTGGATAATATCTATCATGTCTTGGTACTCTGTTTGTTCTTTTCTTAACGAGTCTAAGATGCTCAACCGACTATTGGCCATATCGATGACCATCAATATCCAGTGATTGCTGCATATATTTTTATACACAAATATGATCGACATTAACTAGAGTCAACATATATATATATATGGGAGATAGCTTAGCTAGTAAGCAAATAATTGAACAAATGTCCATATGATCGACATTAATTATTTAACACTCACTTGAAGTTGTAGGGGAAGAGTATGTCCTTGTTTTGTTGGTTCACTAATAACCTCATGAGATTTTTCTCGAGTTCAGCTTTCCATTTAGGCGGGGGATTAGGGTGTTTGAATAAGACATTTGGATCAACGAAACCAACATCATTATTCTTTCTCTTTCTGAGTTCTGTCATCTCAAATCTGCATATATAAAAATATAGTGTGAGGATATATAATTTATATATACACATGTAACTTTATATATATACACTTTAATAGTAGAAAATAATCACACTTACAGACAATAGCAGCTAATGAGACTTTTGTCGAGAGAGTCCAGGTGGAATAGTTGGTGTAATTTTAAAAACTCGACATATATAACGTCATCGCCACGGAAGTAATGTTGGTTTCTAACTCTGATAGAAACAAAGGTCTCTCCCCGTTCACACGCCACCATGTACCACTTGTTTAGTA